GTCTTTTCCAACCTAAATGATTCTAGGATTCTATGATTCTAAAACCAAAGCCTGGCAGACCTAATGGACCCCTGTAGTGCTGCTCTCATCCCCATTCAAAGCAAGAGCAGCCCTGTGGCTAGAGGCAGTACTTATCCCTCTGCTTCCATGGCTGGGGAGAGGAACCATTTACAGGATGCAGGTCACCCCTGCCTGGTGCCCTCAGCTACATGAAGAACCAAGAGAAAGCCAGGTAAAGCCTATTCCCCTTCTGCTCCAAGTCCAGCTCTGCTTCATAGCAAAGCCCTCAGGGAGAGGTGCACCAGATCAAAAGAAGTTATGTGGTCATAAGAGATAGGGATCAGCCATCACCTCTGCTGAGCTGTTTTCAGCAGCAGCCATGTGAAAAAGAAGACCTACTCTGCAGACTCACCATTTGGGATCCAAAGGATGATCTCCAAAATCTCTTTGGAGAGGGCCCAAATGCAGGCTGTTATGATCCGATTAGCTACTGGATTCCCTTCTGTTTCCTGGTATGCCAGCCTGGGAGACCACAGCCTCCGAACTCCTGTCTGCTGGCTGGGAGATTTGGAAAGGACAGAGTGAAAAAGGCAGAGAGCATGAGAAGGACTCACCCTCAAAGCACCCTAGAAAAAAGGGGGCAACTGCTGGGGGTGCTTTTGCTGTGCACCATCTCCTCTGTACACACACATGTAACCAACTCAGCCTATGCAATTTGCAGCCGTACTGAGCATTCCCAGCTGTGGTCCCAAGTCACAACAAGAGCACTGATACAAGAGCTGAGCTCTGAAAAATGTCAGGGTCTGGATATCTCTAAGTAGGCAGCCATAGTTAGCAGATGCATTATGTCTTGATCTTGCCTCTGCTTGGTGATGCAAGTGTTGGTCAGGCGCTCATTAAGCGAGTACCAGTCTTCTGGTTGTCTAATTGGAGATGGGACAGACAAAAGGGAGAGACAGACACATACAAAGGGGATCAATTAAGATGACAGGCAGTCTTTAGAGAGCTCTTCGGATGTGCTTTTGTTTTGGAGGGCCATTTCCTAAGTTATTTGAGGGGGGGGGGGGGGGGGGACACTGGGGGGGGGGAGACACTCAGCACCTGCAATTATCCTAGGGCTAGTAATTTGCATCTAGTTCTGCCACAAGAGCTGACACAGCACTAACTTACACCAAGGCCGGTTATTCAGCTGAACAGCTGATCTCTCAAGTGGGAGATGTGATGCTTGGTTACCACCAACAGCTGTTAAAGGGGTTGAAGGATTTGGCTCCTGTATGAGGAAGGGAGGCAAAGTACCTTCAAGTGATTTCAAACACTTTTCTTGCCCAAACCATTTTCTCCCTCCAGCCTGGGACCACAGCCAAACTCAGGGAGAGGACGCAGGGCATGGCAAGCTATGGTCCGGCGAAGCTCACCTCTGGGGGTACAGCAACACCCACCTCCCCTTCGCTCAAAGCTTAGCATAGTCAAGCAGGGTCACAGCAAAACCTTACCTGGGCAGTTCTCGGCCCTCTGCAAGCTAGATGTGGGTGACAGACTGCACCTCACCCCTACCCCTAGCAAGGCAGAACTCCACTGCATCAGGGTCCACCTGACTAGCAGCAGGCTGACCTCAGGCACAGCACAAGAAGTCACCGTTCCCCAGTGAGGAATCACCCATGCTGTGAAATGCAAAGGCAGCTGCCAAAGATTGCATCGCTCACTCTCCAATTCACCTAGCTGGACCCCGCACCCTACGCCATAGCCCCACCAGCCACCTCCACCCTCAGCTCCAGTTCTGAGACCCCAGTAAGAGACAGCGGCAAAGAGCAGCACGCAGACACTCTCCACAAGACATTGTCCACCCCTCTCTTGTCTACCCAGCAGCACCCCCTTGAGTGAGGAAAGGTCTTGCCATGTCCTCATCTTCAAGGGCTCAAAGATACCAGCGCAGTTCTCATCTTGATGGGACCACAGGCAAAAAAAAGGAGGCCGTTTCCAGCCTATGCTCACACTTTATTATATACATAGACACGGTGAGTGTAAGAACATCAACATGGGACATGGACAGTAAGGGAGGCCCAAAGGCACTGCCCCCTGTCCCCTTGGTGCAACCAGTCAGCATAGTTTATACAAATAATACTGTATTTGAACAATAAATAATAAACAAGTTTGATAAATAAAATCAATAAATTAAAAAAAAAAATGTAAAAAGACAAAGCAGCAAGGAATGATTCCGAGGGCTGTGACACATTCACAGCAGTGACAATACCACCAACACCTCACCCGCACACCAGCAGCCGGATCACTGACCCCCATCAGCCCTTTTCTCTCACTGTACTATAGCAAAATCCATTGAGGAAGGGGAACCTGGGAGACTCGTACACTTCACTACTGCTGTGCTGTTGTGGTCTAGGAGCCCTCTCTCCTTCACAAGCCCCTTTGGAAAGGGGGCTTGAAAACAAGGTACAACCGCAGACCCACTGTGTGTAGTCAGAGCTTGTCTGTTTGGCACAAAAAACCCCTCAAACCAGTCTCTTCCCTTTCTGTAGTCCTTCAGATGGACAGTGGCACAGTTATGAACTGAGTCAGGGCAAGGGATGGCGGGGTAAACATCTCAAAGGAATGGGGGAGAGAAGAGATGAGGCGATGCTCCCTTTTACTCGTGGGAGGCAGCGATGCTCTCATTCATTGCTCCAGAGCTCTGGCATGCTCCTTCCACATGCCCCGGCACCGATGGAAACCGGGGGGGTGACAACGCCAGCCAGTCCCCTGGCAAGGAGGGGGTTACCACAAGGACTGCAGGGATGCAGCTCAAAAGTCGAGAGTTGTGAGTGAAGGGACAGCAGTAAAAGGCCGCCACTGGTTATCTAAGAGAAAAATAATAGTAAGACAGCCAGTCCCTAACCCCTGCAGGGGGAGAGGCCACACAGACACACTGATTTGACCCCCCCTGTCAGTGTCAAAGCCTCCAGCTCTCTCCCAGAGATGCTGGCAGCTGGCATATGAGGGAAAGAAGGACTCTGTCCATCATGGATAGCTCTCAGCAGAAAGGAGACAACTTGAACCCTGCCCCCTCCTGCCAACCCTCCCCATTTTGCCCCCAAAGAAGGGCGTTGGAATGTGAAGAAACCAGGAACTGAGGGAATAGGGCAGTGAGAGAGAAATGGGAACAGATGGAGATCTGGGATGGGGAACCCGACCCCTCTGCCCTCACATGTACAGACTACTCCTCATCCAGGCCCGGTATCAAGTCTGCAATGCTGTCCACATAGTAATTGGGCACCAGATCCTTGGCAGCGGCGCTGTCACTGGCCATGTAGGCCAGCGCCTCTTCCAGGCGGGAGACACCCGTCAGGGTGAGGATGGTGGAGAGGCCGCAGTTCTTGCCGAAGAGGATATCTGTCTCCAGACGGTCTCCCACCATGAGGGTGCGGGACGGGTCAACGCCGAAACGCTCCACGATGCAATCAAACATGTAGGTGTTCGGCTTCCCCACCACCAGCGCCTTGCGGCCCGAAGCGGTT